AAGAACAATTTGTGCAAGCGCTAAAGATTCCCTGGCCTACCCCCTCCCCCCCCCCACACACACACCCCTCTCACACCGTGTCACGAGTAGTCTCGATGATCAGATGAGTGGACAAACACATATGTGATCATGATGAACCCGATTTTCGGTTCCACGATGAAATTGTTTCTAGTAATCTGTGATTTTATTTTATTTTGCTACTTTTATTCCTAAGTAGTGTACACTGAAATGTATTGGCCTGAACAGGAATATCTGTAAACGAGCCTGTTCGCCACTCTGTTATTTTGCTGGAAATGATTTTATTGCTGGTTGTGCGCAACGAGCACACTTTGGAAAACCGCTCGATCCCGAGTCTTGTTTCCTCTTCGATTTACAAAGCACATGAGATGTACGCGATGTTTACCGTTCAGGGTGTGCCTGACAAAGTTTAACTAATAAAATAAATGTGGTGAGTTTCATCACGTAAAGAGCAAATGGAACGTGAACTGAAAAGCTAGGAAGTACTGGGTAGCTGTTTCGACCTGGTTGGGTCTTATCAGTACTGCGATTCTATTGATCTAATGGGGGATTGAACCAGGGATCTCACAAGCAGAAGGCAGGCATACTACTCATTTAGCCACCAAGCAGCTAATCATCCAACCAAATCCTCCATTCATCTTATGCAATAGGATATACACATTACAAGGCACCGGGCTGATCAAACTGAGACCTCAAACTCATCCAGCCTCGTTCAGATCCGTCAAAAAGCCACTTCATCTAGAACCCTTGAAACCTTCAACGTAGATGTATGTATGCTCTATCTCCGAAACATGCATGAATGATTCGTACGGAGTTAACGCGACCAAGCTACAGTTCTATTCTCTAGTATACACCTTTGTGTGGTGAATGGTGGATTTGTTAAATGCCACTGGCAGAGGTCAGTAAAAATCGCAATCAATAATTTTGAGCAGATGTTTCACACCAGAATGTGAATGTTTCAACGAGAAAGTGGTAAAGAACAAGCAAAAAACACATGCATGTGATGGTACCACATATGTGGACGATGCCAAGTAGTGCACAGGTAACAGACCGTGTAAACTAAGATACTAAGCAGTGACGGGGATAAAATACTCCAAAATGATCTCAATAAACATATTCTATAGTTCGTATGGTTAGTAGATAGTTTTGAATAAAAAATTAAACCTCCGAAAGAGGGTGAATATCGTTCATACGGTTGGTAATCCTTGTATGAAAACAATACACTATTTATGTCCGTTAAAATCACAGTTATTGCATTGGTCGCCACCTAAAAGCGTTGACAGCACTGTGCGGCCGTTTCACCTCAATCAATACAGATGCACATTCATCGAATTCGCTGAGACTCGAACCTAAGCACGAATCTTGTTAACCAGAGCTACCTAAACTGGCCGTCAGCAGCTATCGTAAAAAATACCTGATGGAGCGCTCGTTCGCGATTGAAAATGAACTTCCCGGATATCACGAGACAGTCATCGACTCACAGAAAAATAAATCTTAAATGGGATCCTACAACTACTGTGTAGAAGACCTGCACCCGTTGAGCGTTAGTGATAGCAATCCATCACCGAAGGGTGGGGTGCACAATGGAATGAAAGCTGACGGTCAGTAGAACTCTATGCAGATAGAAGAACGATCACCTGGAATGTTAACCATGAACAGGCGGGAATTCATCGACTGAGAAAGCAGTTGCGGACAGTCAAAAACGAAGTCTCACAAAGTGGAGGATTATTACCTGCCTGGTCTGTGTTACCTGGCAGTATTCCACCTACAAACAAATCATGGAACTTTCTCTTTTTGTAAAGATTATTACACTATGATTTTTGTTTGGCATATAGTCTGGATTCAGGCGTGTGCGAATTTCACACATGATAAGCGGTTTATCTGAAGCAACCCCCCCCCCCCC